CGTACTCAATAACGCGCTCCTTTAAAGAAGAATTTACGGCTTGTTTGTTAAGGCTATGAATACTCTAAAAGATAAACATTACAGAATTATATTTTAAGAACCTATCGCAGAAGTCTCAATCCCAAGAAATCAGAATTACCCGTTCCAAAAACAATTCATACATATTCATGCATTACTGCAACAAACAAACAAATATATTCAAACATTACTATCACAGTAATACGGTACAGACGATATTCTTTTTTCTTTCATATTTAAATAGATTTAGGACCAATATGTTTTTAAATACTAATAAAAATACACATTAAATAGGGAATTTAAACTCATTTAATGCATCTCTAAAATGACATGACGGTATTTTTCAATGCTTTGTTTGCGGTAAAATATTTACGAATATGACAAATTCTTCAAGGGGAAATAGCTTTTTGACCCTCTTTACTATCTGGTGTTAACTTGTAAATGAACTTCAAAGTATTTTATTCGTAATTCATTTTCTATTTTACTTAATTCAATCTTAATGCTATATTGAAAATTTTCCTGCGCCCGATATGTATGCTTTCAAATTTTATTGTTGTGTTTTATTGGCACAAGCTAACGTTGTCCTTTCGAGAGTTCTATTGCTTCAGCTTTAAATATTTTCGTACGATACATTAAATTTCGAAGAAAATTGCTTAATGGATGTCGCACATTTTAATGCAAATATTTTGTTTTAATCCACATCGTTAATATTAGCAACCAGGTCAGTCAGATCTAAATATCAACCGTGAATTATCAAATTTGAGCATTCACATTCTCGGCGAAATTACCAATTTGCTTAATGAATTCAAGTCCCATAACAATGTTGTTGTAGTCACGTTACATTTTTTTAAAGTTTTGGTAATACTTCCATTTCAAAAGAAAAATGTACGTGTACAGCATTACATTGAATTGAAATACAGATAAATCCATAACAGTTATGTTAATTGTTAATATGCTCTCTTTAAAAATTTGTAGTGTTCAATTAGTCATTAAAATTCTTTTAGATTTTATCTCCACTTTATCCAGTTTTCTGAGTAGCAAATGCAAACATGTGTCTTTGTTTTGCCTCAGAGAGTAAATGTTTCTTTTCTTAAATGTCCCTTTCAGTTGTTTCTGCATTCTTCCGTAAACAATTGAGTGAACAAAAAATTGCAGGAAATTTAAAAATTGAAGATATTTGAAGGGGACTAGAGAATTTCAGGAATACAATCTAATAAAAATTAGTCTATGTAAACATTGTGATCTTTACATTATGCTCGTATTCCATCAAGTAATATTCATTTGACATAATTTAATTAAAAGGAAATATCGTCAAACCTAATCATTCCTACATCATCTAATGAATGCTTATTAAAACCAAATACTTTAATAGAGAGTATTGATGTAACGTAAACATTGCTATTGAATCTTCAAAACTGTCCTGCAAATGAAAGTTAGGCATAATAACTACTTATAGCAATAAGCTTAAAGAGTAGTTCATTCAACTCATTGCACGAGCACGTTTGCAGTATCTGATACGAACCCATCAGAACATTTCCTCGCTCCGAGTAAAAAGGCCAAAATCACATTTTGTTTTCGGGTTTCAAAATATTTCGTTTCGGTTTTCAGCTATGCAATGAGGAACGAACGTCCGATATTAGATATGTTTTCATGCATTTTCGAACACGTAAAACGAAAACTTGATTCAACAACACAATGTCATCTCACATGAATCTAATATAGTTAGAATTCTATCTTAACATTTAGACCAATAAAGCAACGGGTCTTACCAGACATACACCTCCAGCCAGTGATCAGAACTCCAAATCGTTCTCAATTATTACGTTCTTGTATGCTACTGATTTATCTCACGAGAAGACCTAAAAAATTGATCTTGGAAGTGTTTGATGTGGAGAATTTGGCTTTGAAGGACTTCACTGGATGATCTTAGAGGAAGGATATGCCCTATCAATAAAAACAAAATCATATAAATTATATATTATTTTTATTCAATTTTGTGAAGTTCTTTTTTAAAAAGAGAAGACTTCTGGCAGCATTTACTATATACATAAAACAAGACAAAGTATAATACAAAATGGAAATTAAAGATCTTATTGTCTCTTACGTATGCAGTACATGATTTAAAAGATTTGCATTAAAGATAAATACGGAGAAATCATATACCACGTAAGATAGTCGACTAGTGTTAACATAAGGAATAATTTAGTAAAGCAATGTACGAGACATGCTGTAATTACCTGATAAATAAAAAGAGCTATTCAAGTAATTTAACAACTAATACAACGATAGTGCCTGAGATGGCAAGAAGTAAATGGACTTTGCTCTTGAGTCTTTTCACCAGTCTTTTATCTTCCTTAATACCGGAAGAATTTTAGGTTGAATTATTCTTTGAGAAATAGTAATGCATTTTTCCTCTGTTATTCACATGTAAACACAAATGCAAGTTACAAATGAACATCTAATATTGATCACTGAATTCGATACGAATACATCTAACCTCAAAATGAATACAGACACATCTAAACTTGAAATTTCTGTTGCCGCCGTTTGTGCCTCGCAAGTCGACAACTCAAAATCCTTTTTTGCTATTTTTCTTTGACTGTAAATATATCGTCCATCACTCGCGAATTCGGTGCGTTGATGAGAAACCTTGGTAACATCTGGCCATGAGGGTCTCATAAATAAGAGAGGAATACAATAAATAGGCCTTATTTACACAGGCGAAGAAGTGGGCAAGCACAAGCCGCCGCTAAATATACACGAAAAAGTCTATGTACAAGGTTCGTATCATACATACTGCAACAACACACATGAACATGTCGAAGGAACCGTTTAAAGCTGTCTCTTAAGTACTCGAGAGCCTACCTTGGGCGAGCAGCGTCCGTCATGCACTCAGGCCCTGTGGTACGAGAGGGGGGGCCGATCCTTTCGCACTCAACCGGGAAGGAAAGATATCACAAACGCGGTCGCCGAGCGACTGTTCATTATTATTTTTTTTCGTATCGCTTTGATACTGATTCGGAGCCCTGGTCTCGAAGCGATCGCTTTGCGAAAAAGCGGCAGTCATGAATTGAACACGGTCGCACTCACTGCACACTAGAAGCGCGGGCGGGCCGCGGGAGCACTGTTACACGAAGTACGTTCTGCCGTTGGGCTGGTGGGCGGGGAGCGCGCCGTGCTCGGCGGCGCGACACGTGCTGCCGGGCCCGTCGACGGCGTGGTGCTGGTGCTGGTGCGGGTGCTGGTGCGGGCAGACGGGCGAGGGGGCGGGGCCGTCGGGGATGGTGCTGTAGACGTGGCCGGCGGCGACGCCGGGCAGTTCCTTCCGCGGTGGGGAGGAGGCGGGTGGGGGGTGGAAGCGGGGGTTGGTGCGCGGCGGGGAGGCGGGGTGTCACTTCGCCACGTAGTGTGCTTGTGCGCGGCCGCGCACGCCGCCGCGCCGCCGCGGCCGCGCGTACTCGTAGTGCTGGCGTCTGCGTGGAGTGGAGCCTTCTTCCTCTCGTCGTCCTCTCGAGGTCGGTGACGCGTTGGCCGAACGAGTTCTCGGACCGTACGTGGACTGCGTGGGGGTGGGAGTGACGAGCGGCGGCTGCTGCTGCTGCGTGGGCGAGGGGCGGCGGGGGCGTGCGGGCCGACGCGGCGGGGCAGCAGTGTTGCTGCTGCTGCTGTGCTGCGGGGGCGGCGGCGCGGACGCGGGGCCGGCCCATTGCCGCGTTATTGTCCACGAGTCGATGCGACGTGGGCGCGGCGGTGTAAGCGGGCGTGGCGCCGCCGCCCCCTCGCGCGTCCGCCTCTTGAGGTCCGCCGCGTCACGGCGCCGACTTCACCCGCACGCTTCTTCTTCTTTTCTCTTCTTCTTTGCGCCAGCGGGCAGGTCTGGCAATGGGGTGCGTGCTTCTCCCAAGAAGCGCCGGTTTCGCACCCACAAATGCCGTGCCGGCGGTTAGGCAGGACGCAGCTCGGGGTCGAGCCCAGGGCGTCGGGGTGGTGGTGAAGCAGGAAGATGGTTTGCACGGTGGCGCTGCGCCAGCCGGGTCTGCTGGACCGGGATGCAAGCGCCGTGGGAAGTCGGGCCCGCGTGAGCTCGCCGCGCAACCAGCCCGGGGCTACACACGGAGCACGCGGCGCGACGCGTGGCCGGCTCGCACGCTGTCCGTGAGGTTAGCTGGCGGCGCCGGCACCAGGTGCCAGGTACGGGTAGTGGAAGGCACATGGTAGCGCTGCTCCAGCTTCGGCGCGATGGCGCGGCACACCAGCTCGTCGTCCTGCAGGCTGTTACACCATGTAGCGTCGTAGAGGGGTGCGCCTCGTGTCCGGCTCGGGGCTGCGCGGGTCCCACAGATGCGCAGTGTACGTAGCGCGCGTGCGCCCACAGGCGCACGTCTGGCGGAAGGCGAAGGCGGGGCCAAGCGGACAGGCGGCGCAGGGCGAGCGCCGCCGCAGCAGCGGCACGTATCGGCCAGCGGCCGCGCCGCCCTAGGAGGCTCTTTGTGCAGGCGGACGTGCGCTCACGGCGCGCCCGCGCGGGCCCCGCGCCGCGCCGCCCGCGCGCGGCAGCCACGCAGCGCGCAGCAATGTCGGCCAGTCGCGTGGCGGCGCGCCGTGGCCCCGAAGGAACCGCGCGCCAGCGCCTCCACTCGTGCCCTCGCCTCGCCGCCCGGGTCCGGCCGACGCATGCGCGCGCGGCCAGCCGCGTGCTGGGCGGCGGGCCGGACGGCTCGCACGCCAGGCGTTGCCTCGATGCGAGACGCGCGCGGCCGCCGCACGCTGCGCGAGCTCCAGGCGCACCCGTCGCGACAGCGGTTCTCGTCCAGGCGCAGCACCTCCAGCTTGGTCATAACGGACCAGAACGTCTGTTGCCCACACGAACGAGATGGCGTTGTGGTCCAGGTACACGCTGTTAGGTTCGCCAGCTGGTCGAATCAAAAGCCGTCGCAGCTCCTGAAGGCGGGTTGTTCTCCAGGTGCAATACCCGCAACGATTCACGCGTTGAACGTACGGTTGTGGATGGCGCTATACTTACTCCCGTTCAGATACACACTTCCAATTCTTCTTCCCGATAAAACGTGACTGCCAGCTCCGCTCAGTGGTTCCGTCCGGTAGATCTCGGTGGCGTCCATGGGGATTTGGCGGGCACGGACGTGTCGGCCCGCTTGAGAGGAGTCCGAGTGGGGCCCAGGGGTGTGGGTCGGGAAGAGTGCGCAGTTGTCGGGGCACGTCATCTCGCAGTCGCACGCGTCGAAGTCGCAGCAGTGGCACAGGGCGAAGCAGTGCGAGTCGTAGGGGCAGAGGAAGTGGGCGGGCCGCAGGTCGAGCAGCGGCCGCGTGGCGCCGGCGCGCGCGTGCGCCAGCCGGCACTGCACCGAGTCCAGGTCGAGCACGCGCGGGTACTGGCGCACGCCGTGGTAGCTCATCTGGTTGACGCGCGGCAGCCACTCCAGGTGGCAGTCGCAGTAGAACGGGTTGCCGCCCACGTAGAACTGCGGCAGCTCCTTGTCGTCGGGCACCGGTTGCAGCGTGAGCGCGGACAGATCGAGCTTCTCGATGCGGTTCGCGTACAGCACCACTCGCGTCAGGTTGGTCTTTTTGAAGAACGTGTTGGGCTTGACCGTGTGGATGAGGTTGTCGTTGAGGAACAGCATCTCCACGCTGTCGGGCAGCGCGTTGTCGTCCACCTCGCTCAGCTTGTTGAAGCTGGCGTCCAGCATCTTGATCTGCAGCGAGGCCCGCGCGCCGTACTTGTCCGCCAGCTCGCTCACCAGGTTCTTGTGCATGTCCAGCCACTCGAGCGAGCGCGGCAGCATGGCGTAGTCGAAGCGCTGCACGCCGTTGTCGGACACGTTGAGCCAGATGAGCGCCGGCAGGTCGGCGAGCAGCCCGCCCAGGTCGGCCAACCTGTTGCCGTCGAGGCGCAGCGCGTGCAGCGTCGGGGTGGCGGAGAACGCGCCAGCCTCCACGTGCCGCAGGCGGTTGCGCGCCAGGTTGAGGATCTGCAGGGACTGCAGGGGCGAGAAGTCGTCGCGCGACACGTTCATGATGGCGTTGTCGATCAGGCGCAGCCCGTACAGCTGGTCCAGCCCCTCGAACGCGGCCGGCGACAGTTTGGTGATGCGGTTTTCGCCCAGGTCCAACGACTTGAGAAAGCGCAGCCTCCCGACCGCCTTCGGAACCTCCGTCAACTCGTTCGCGCTCAGCCCCAGGTCCTGCAGGTTGGTGCAGTTCTCGAAGGTGTGCGGGTGCAGGTCTTTGATTCGATTGTTAGAGAGGAACAGCTGATTCAGCACGTACAGCCCCGTGAAGTGGTAAGGTTGGATGAGCGTGAGCTGGTTGTGGGAGAGCGTAAGAGCGTGTAGATTGCTCAGGGTGGAAAACGCACCTTCCGCGATCACGTCGATGCTGTTGTGATCGAGATTGAGGATCTGCAGGCTGTACAGGTCGTGGAACACGTGCGCGTCGATTTTGGCGATGTCGTTGTGCGCGAGGTTTAGCACCACTAGGCGTATCATGCCCGAGAACGTGTCTCTGTTCACCCAACTGCTCGTCAGTTCGTTATCGGACAGGTCGAGCACTTGTAATTGGTCCAGGCCCTCGAGCAAACCCGGCGCTAGCACACTGATGGAATTGTTCTGCAGGTACACTTCTTTGATATCTCGCGTGCTTTGGAACAGTTCGGGCGGCAACGCCACGAGTTGGTTACTGGACGCGTTTAGCACTTGCAAACCTTGCAGTCCGACGAAGGCGCGGTCGGCCAGCTGCGTGAGGGCGTTGTCCTGCAGGAAGAGCTTCTGCAGGGCGCGCAGGCTGGAGAGCGCGTTGTCCGAGACGGTCATGATGTCGTTGTCGGACAGGTCGAGCACCTCGAGCCCGGCGTTGCACGACTTGCCCGGCGCCGTGGGGCCGTTGCCCCAGTCGGAGAAGCCCATCTCGGACACGTCCTGCAGGCGGTTGCGCGTGAGGTTGAGCGCGGCGAGCGACGCCAGCGGGCAGAACAGGCCGTTGGGCAGCGTCCAGATGTTGTTGTCGGCCAGGCTGAGGCTGCGCAGCTCGGCCAGGCCGCGGAAGCTGTCCGGGTGGAACTCCATGGTCATCGCGGACCAGTCGGTGTTGTGCGTGCGCAGCGTGAGGTGGCGCAGCGCGCGCGACGCCGCCAGCACGCCCGCGGGCACGTGGCGGATCTTGCAGTGCTCGACGCGCAGGTCGCGCAGGCGGCGCAGCGGCGCCAGGAAGCCTCCGCCTCCGCCCCCGCCGGCCGGCGCGTCGAGCGAGCTCTCGAAGAAGAGCACGTCGCTGCACACGAGGCGCAGCGCCGTGATGCGGTCGACGAGCGCGGCCGACAGGTTGCCCAGCAGGCCCGTGGTGCCGGCGATGGTGCGCACGCGGCAGCCGAGCAGCAGCGCGGACGCGTCTTC